TTATTATATGATAAATTGCATTTGAATAATAAATTGTGGAATATAGATGAATATATCTGAATGAGAATTAAAAATTACCGAGGGTCAGTCTCCTTGGCTAATTGTAGAATAAGAAGTAAAAGCTGAAAATATCTTGAATAAAAATAATAATTAGAACAGGGTTAATAAAGAAACTAGGGCCACCAAGTTATATGACATTATATATCTGATATCGTAAGTGGTTAACAAAATGACTACTATTGAAGGATCTTCTACCAACACAGTGCCTAAATCTGAAGATAATATATGAGACATCAATATTTCAAGATTTTTTGAACATTCAAGCCACGTGAATTTAAATGTCTTAACGACCCTATAACTGTTGAAGATTGCCTGTTAAAGATAAGAAAGATTTTGGATATTTGATTTGTCCAGAGAATGGGAGAGTGGTACTAGCCATTTTCATGCCAGGAGAGGCGAAGAGGTGGTGGTGGGCACAACATAGAAATTTAAGCTGAAATCTCTTCTATAGACTCAATGGAATGAATTTATTAAGTCTTCAATGATTGATTCATTCCGCCTTCAACCAGATTAGCATTGCAATATAAAATGGAATTTACTTCTTTTTTCTAGATATGCACCCTATTATGTCAGTACCCAGGAAAAAAATGTTGCGGATTAGTTGAGATTAACTTTGACTCCTTTTGAAACAAATGATTTCTCAATGCTAGTTGAAAGGGTTAGAAAAATTGAAATGAGCTGAACTTCCTCAATCGGTGTTGACAATCCCAAGCGAGCAAACGAAAAGTTTTCGACAAGGGAGAAGAACATCAAAGCAAGAAGCTTAAATCAGAAGTTAACTAGAAGCAACCGCAGTCAAAAATGTCAGTTTGTGAAAAGTGTAGAAAAAGATATTTTGGGTAGTGCTTAATGAGTTCAGAAAAGTATAGATGTGGGCAATCAGGGCAACAATAGATGTGCTGCTCATAGGAAAAGGAAAGAGATCATACTACCAACATTTAATGGATCAGGTCAACCCAGAAAACTTTTGGAAGACGGCCAATCAAGCAAAATTCATTTTTTGGGAAATCATTCAACTTAACAAAGGGGTGAAGCTTCAGAGCGTAGAAATGAGCAACCGACGAAGACCAAAGTTTTTGCACTAAACCCTTGAGAATCTAAATAATATGAAGAACTGGTTATATGCATGCTTCTGATTTTAAATAAATGGTTGTTTATTCGGTTCAGATTCATTGCATTCTTTCATTTTTGAAGAGTTTTTTGTCAGCTTATTCGTTCATATTATGCATTTTATTGATTCCTTGTGTGTTAGTATGCCTTCGGGAATTGGTTTCTACACAAAAAAGAATTGTTTTGTGCATATTCTTATTTCTGATAGAAAGTTGTTAGAAGAATTAATCATAATACAAATTCAGACTTTCAATATCATATTGGGGTTGAACTAATTAGTAAAGAATTTTGCTACAATTGAATATTGGAACAGGTGTGTGAAATCAGTTTGTTTGGCAATAAGTCTATTTATTTTTCTTGTGATAGGAATGCACAATATTCTTTGATTAATGTAGTGATGTTGGGAAGTATTTGTGAAATGGTGAACTGGTGTTTCTAGCTAAATTAGAAGTTTTGCATAAAAATGTGCGGGAATTGAACAACATCCTAGTTCAATACCAAATTCCAATTGTTAAGAATGTATAATATTCTTTGATTAATGCAGTGAAAGCGGGAATTGAAAATATCCTAGTTTTATCAGGCCAAACAATTAACCTTGGAGTGCTCCAGCATTATTTTTCAGGAAGAAAGATGGATCTATGTGATTATGCATTGATTATAGAGAGCTAAATAAGGTGGCAATCAAGAATAAATATCCATTATTCATGATTGATGAATTGTATGATCAGTTGCAAGACACTTTTGTATTTTTCTGAATTGATCTGAGATCAGAATATCAAGTTACAATTAAGTAGGTAAATGTAACTAAGATAATTTTTAAGACCAAATATGGTCATTATGAATTCTTTGTTCTGCCTTTTGAATTAACGAATGCTCCTGTCGTGTTCATGAACTTCATGAATCAAATATTTAAGTCTTATGTAGATCAGTTTGTCATTATCTCTATTGGTGATATTCTAACGTATTCAAGGATTGGTGATGATCATGCCAAACATCTTATGATAGTATTGAGTGCAGATTCAGAATAAAACACATGCGAAGTTATTAAAATGTGAATTCTGGTTGCAAAGTATTGTATTTTGTTTGGGACATATTATCAGTGGACAAAAGTTATCAATAAATCCTCTGAAGGTAAAAGCAATTGTGGAATGACATATACCAAAAAATGTTATAGAGGTATGCAGTCTTTGTTTGGTCGAATATTACAGGAGGTTCGTTAAATGTTTTTTCATAGATAGTTATTGTGTTGCCCAAAATGACGATGAAAAAACGTTCAATTTGAGTGGACTGTAAAACGTAAACATATTTTTCAAGAATTAGAGAAATATTTGACAATTGCTCGTGTTTTAGCTATTCCATCAGGTACAGTGACACAGCATTAAGAGACTTGGGCTATGTTTTAATGCCAAACAAAAAGCTAATAGCCTATGCATCCAAATAGTTGAAACCGCATGAGAGGAATTATTCAACACATGATCTGGAGTTGGTTGTAGTTTTTTCTCATGATTTGACAACATTATTTGTGTGACATCAAACGTGAAATATTCATTGATTATCAAACTCTGAAACATATTTTAAAATAGAAAGAGTTGAATTTGAGACAAAGGAGATGCCTAGAGCTTACTAAAGATTATGATCTAAATATGCAGCATTGTCTTGGAAAAGCAAATGCAGTTGTTGATGCTTTGAGTTGTTATTTCAGATAAAACAAGCTGGATTATTACTCAGGAGCTGGAATTGATTAAAGAAATTGATGTTTTACAATTGAAAGTCAAAAGACCAGGTGATACGAGGTATTTACATTAGTCAATGGTGTAACTAACTCAGATAGGCATAATTAAAGCAACTCAGAAAGTTAATAGTGAATATTCAATACTTTTAAAATAACTTCAATTAGGAAAAAGATCAAATATGACTGTTGATGAAGATGATATTGTCAAAAACAAGCTCCAGTTTTAGATAATGCTGATTTTGATTTGAGCCTGAAAATCCTACATGATGCTCATCTTTTCTGGTATATGATTCATACTGTCAGTACCAAAATATATATAGATTTGAAGTTGATATTCTAGTTGCCAAGTATGAAAAAAGATGCTTCTAAATATTTGTCAAAATGTCAGGCTTGTTAAATTGTTAAAACTGATCATTAGAGACCCAACTAATTGTTGCAATTACTACCTATACTTGATCGAAAATGAGAAAAAATCACGATGAATTTTGTTATGGGATTTCCCAAATCTAGACTGGGTCATGACAATATTTGGGTTATTATTGACAGGTTCTTGCCAATCTGACATACATTCACTAGAACATTTGTTAAATTGAATGTAAAAGAGATTATCAGATTGCATTATGTTCTAGAAGTTATTATTTTTGACAGATATTAAAGATTCACGTCCAGGTTCTAAAAAGACATTCAACAAGGTATGGGTATGCATTTAGCATAACATTTCATCTACAAACCAACAAACATTTAGAAAAAACTATTCAGATATTGAAGATCTGTTGTGGTTTTTATGTCCTTGACTTTGAAGGCAGTTGGGAATATCACATTCTAATGATTGAATTCGCCTACAATAATTGCTATCAATCCAATATTAAAATTGCTCCATATGAAGTGTTGTATGACATGAAATGTAGAACTTCACTAAGCTGGGTTGAGGCGGTGAATGTCATATCTTAGGTCCTTGGTTGATGAAAGAAAGTCAGGTTAATGAGAGATAGATTGGAAGCTGCTCAGGATCGATAGTATAAATATTATGATTCAAGGCATAGAACAGTAAAGTTTGAAGTTTTTTATTTTTGTTTTTAAAATTCAGGCTCATGAAAGGTATAACGAGATTTGATAAGGGAAGCAAGTTAAGTCCCATATAAATTTGATTCTTTTGAAATCATAGAAATAATTGGTCCTGTTGTATACAAACTAGCATTACTTGTTGATATGTCACATATTCATGATGTGTTTCACTTCTTTATGTTGAGAAAATAGATTTCAAATTTAGGTTGGCGAATTTCACATGAAGACATTGACGTGAAAAATGATTTAACATATAATGCCTAAATGAATTTTAGAAACAGTTAAGAAGTTGAGGACCAGACATATTCCTTACATGAGGACATTGACGTGCAAAAAGATTTAACATATAATGAAGAGCCTATATGAATTTTAGAAATAGAAGTTAAGAAGTTGAGGGCCAGACATATTTCTTTTGTTAAGATAAAATGAAAATGCAGGCCATAAAAAGAAATAACATGGGGAAAAAAAATAAATGCAACAAAAATATCTTTTTCTTTTCTAGTAAATTTAGAAATTTTGAGGACATAGTTTTTATGATGGGAGAAATGCAACGCAATTTTGAGAAAACAGATAAAATTTTGACAATTTTAAAAATATCTCAACTTTTATATCTCTCAGATTTATATCGAGTCAATTTTATAAAATTGTGCTTCTTGAACTAATCAATTTGATAAATAATGTTATACATGAATTTTAAACATATGAGAAGATATAAAATTATAAAATAAAACTTTAATTAAACTTCATTAATCTTAATTAACTTCCTGATCTCTCCCTCGACACTGTGGGCATTGACCTTTGCGATTTCCAGCCATGGGATGCAATCAAGTGGCTGAGATTCATTGTTCGGTGGTGGTGGTTGGGTGGGGGGATGGTGATGGTTAATAATGCATAGGAAGCTTCATGAACGCCCCAGCTGGGTGGGGGGGGATGGTGATGGTTAATTATGCATAGGAAGCTTCATGAGCGCCCCATTCCTCCCAATTCCTTCCTCTCGCGGGAATGTTTGCTCAGTCCATGTATCTGGCGAGATATGGGCAACCGCAAGAAGCGTAATCATGTGATTCGGGGTTCCAAGAAGAAACGAAAGGTAGGAGGTCATCTTTCATGAAATTTCGAACATTCCTTTCCTTCCCTATGATTTTATTTTTTCATTTACCATGAATTGAGGCATTATGTGTGTTCCCTGTTACTAAAGCTTTGCGGAAACAACTAAGGGATTGTGGAACTAAGAGCTACTCTCACTTGTAGGTCCAATTGAAGAGCTGGGGAAGGGTTGAGGGAAAAGGAAGAAGAGAATAGAATAGAAAGGTATTGAGACATATTTATGTTGATAAGCTTTTTCAAGGCAAGTTAAAGCCAGATCATATTTGAGGTTAAATTATGATCTCAATTATGAATTTCATGAGTTATTCAGGGATTACAAACTTCAGGTTGTTTGCACTTGGCAGCGAGCTCGAGTCGAGATTGGGGAAATTTGTCCTAGGGCTGCTCTGTCAATTCAGGTAAAATAATCTTGCGTTAATATAAGGAAATCAACTATTTGTATGTTTTCATGTGATTGTATTTGAAGTAATTGTTTTTAATATTTTCTGCATATTGTTGATAAATACCTACATAAACTCTTTGAATGCAAATTTGATTTATACCTTACAATACCTATGATTTTCATATGCTATGAGTTTCATGAATATGATTGTGAAATCATTATATGCAGGTATTCATTTACTCTGATTGATGCATATGATATATAAAATGCTTATGATGAATGTTTGTTATAGAAATTATGATTTAAGAAATGTCACAAGTGATGTTAGGTCAGTTATTACATGAATGTTTGCAAGTATAGATGATAGAAGCGATAAGATTCCCGACTCCTGATGTTCAGACGAGGACGAAATTTCGGGAACCGTTGGGATCAAACGAGGACGAAATATAGGGATCCATTGGTTCCAAGGGGCTATTTATAAATGCTAAGTTGAGGGGAGCCCAACATTTATCAATAATTAATGTAGCATTTAAACTGGGTGACGACCCATTGACATGATATTACATGAAAATAATTGAGACAAAATTACAAGTGACATTTCTATAATTACCGTGCTATGCCTATGACATGCAGGTTTTATGCAACAATCATGACTTCATACATTATATGCTTTTTTTTACATATTTTATATGATTATAGCATGTTATGACGTGTTGTAGACATGTACATGTGCTACATGTGATCATGTATGTTTCTTTTTCTTTTGTAAAATTTTTCTCTAGCCTTGCTTATTTCGTCGAGCTATTGTAGCTCACTCT